AAGGAAGTTAGTAGAGAGAGAGAGAGAGAGAGAGGGGAACGGAGGAAGAGATTTGAATTTTGGCAGATGCTTTTTTGAAATTCGCGCTTCCCAAACGCTGCTTCTATTCGAGCCTGATTTATTTTCAGGGTTTAAATTTCGGTAATATTTTTCGGCGTTTCATCAGCACTTGAAACGGGAAACGGTGTCCTGGTTAAGTCCACCGGTTCCAAGACTTGCAGTGTATGGAATAATATTTCGGCGGACTTTCGGTGAAATTTGGATTTCAAATATGGTGCCGTAGGTGAAAAGGCTTAAATAAATTACGGGGATGCCCTAGACTTCTTCAAAATTTACTAAAACGTCACGCATTCAAAATTTTGTCTACAGATGGGGTTGGTGTTTGTTTTCCATCTGCCCCTTGCATCTCTGGAATACCGAGTAGAACAGTGTCAGCCGTACATACGGACTTTATTCTTCTCTCTCCTATAACTCCATCAGATATTTAGATATTAAGGAAAATGGTTTGATAGCTTGAAGCCTCACCCTTTAATTCGTCGGAAATTGTCACCCAAGCATTGGAAAATAATTAAATAGATCATCTTAGCTTGAATATTATGGTTGTGCAAAAAATTAGAATTTTAAACTCTAAATATAGTGTATATTATTATCAAAATCATCTATTTTGCAGTGTTCAAAGATCCGCAAGATCTGTAATACGTTTTGGGTTTCAAATTGTTATTGTTTGTATTGAAATTTTAATTTGGAGCCATTATAGATATTTTCGTTTTTGTGCTTTCCAAACAAGAATTTGAGATGAAGATTTATTTACTTTCATAAAACCTACACTTTATAGAAACTTCATCCTTAAAGGAAAACTTTATATGAAACAAATCTAAAAATATCGGTTTCTATAAAGCCGAGGATCTAACAATCAACGTAACCCTCACCTTCAAATAATGTCGAGAAATGTGGTTTCAATATAGAAAATCTTTGTAATAGCCTTAAAATATATTTTTCATCTCTAGTGAGATAAACTTATGTGCAATTTTATGTAAAAGTTCATCTTTTGAAAAGTAATATTTACTTTATGGAAAGAGTTTATATAAGGATGAGGCTCTGAATAATCAAGTTAACGCGCATCTCTATTTTGATACCTAAAATACTCATATGTGCTTAAAAATTTGAATAATAAGTGGATGTTTAAAGTAATTTAAAATTACAAATATGTTCTTAAAAATTTCAAACAAGCAATGTAATTTTTACATTTGTTAAGGCAATATGTTATCAAAAATTTAAAGTAGAAAATTCTAAATTCATTGTTAGTACAACGTATTTTGGAAGATCCCTTTAAAAAATTAAAATTACAAATATGTCGTTCTCAAAAAAAAATTACAATATTATTGTTAATGTAACTCTAATTACCGTAAGAGCATTTTGTTGTCAAAAAAAATTAGAGCGGAAATTCTAAATTCATCATTAATATAGGGTATTCTACACTAAGGTGTGGTTTGTATAGAGCCTAGGCTATCAAATAGGAGTGTCGAGAAATGTGGTTTCAATACTGGAAATGTTTGTGATAGCCTTAAAATATATATATATATATTATTTATAAAGTTTAAAGCTTAAAAAATAGTGTACATCGACATATATATGAAAATCTTGAAAATTAACGGTCAAAAAATGCATTACAAAATACATTATTTTCAAACCATGAAATCCATTTTTTTATCATATCCATACATCTTGATGTCGAGATGATCAATTTGAGCATCAAAAGAACTTCTTCTAGTGAATTTTTTGTAGTGGGCTTCAATTTGATTGTTTAGAGCCTCGGCCCTATATAAACTTTTTCTCTAGATTATCCCTATTAATTATAATACAAGATAGCTATTATATACTTAATGAAATAATATTATCCCAAATATATTAACTTTAAATAATAAACAGATAAAATCAATTGTCATTCCAACCGGCCCTCAAACTACATAGACCACCCTCTCTCTCCCCCCTAAATGTTGACTTTAGAGGTGGCAATAGGCCAACATTGGGCTGGCCCACCCTTGACCGTCTTCCCCTTAGGGTTAGCCCTAACTTAGCTTAACAAGCCTCGCTCAAACCTGGCCCTAGCCCTATCAAGGTTAGAGTTGGGTTGGATAAGGTAAATAAAATTAAAATAACATACATAATATATATATAAATAAAAGAAAAATTACATACTTATTTATAGTTTCTGTTATTACGTTTCTACCGAATAGTTTCCGTTATTATTATTGTGTCCGTTTTTTTACGTACATATCTTCTTTTGGATTTTTATATAAAGTATTTTTTGCTGATCCTTACTTTTAACTTACTTTTTTATTTGATTTTTTAAAATAAAAATGATTTATTCTCGACTTTATGGTGGGCCTGATCTTCCCCGACTTGCTAACTGTGGTCAATTGCGACCCTCGGTAGTATTGGCTCAGACTTGTTTGGTAATTTAAGCAATACGAAGGCTATTTCCATCGTGTACAAAAAAAAGGACCTCGAATGGCACTCATGTAAATAATTTTAAACGGTATGCCCATTCCCGGTACGTTTCAACGGAAAAAAAAGTCAACAAACACTACTTGCAAAATCCTCGAAATCATTGAAACTTATCCGAAATTCTCATATTTCGGCTGCGAGGCCCACAAGAGATGTAAGACATGAGGCTGCACGAAGTTGTCTCTGAGCATGAATCTCAGCCGTTGATTAATATGATACACGACTACAATACAGCACGTGTCATCCGTCTATTGCGCAGTTAGGTTTTAACGTTTTCTCCCATCTTTTGCGTTCGCGCCAGTTTTATGCCAAAAGCAATGCAGTGCTTCACCAGTTATGGGCGCCCTGTATTTTCACATAATAAATTGGTATAAATGGAATTATTTATTTCCTTGGAATTAATTTACTAGAAATAGTGCCATGTTGACTGGCACATTTACTAGGGGACATTTTGGCCCGTCTGAGGGAGAGATGGGTCATAGCATTAGGGTGGGCCATTGCCAACTACATATCCTTCTCCGGCTAACAAACGTATCAACATATTGGATGTTTTTTTTCTTTTGATGAGTTTTTTTTTTTTTTGGTAATTCAATGTAGAAGACAGATGACAGGCCTCTTGCCCATTTTTTCAAATAGTTTAGGAGATTTTTTTGGAGGTATTAATATGGTAGCGTTCGTAGGAATGGAAAACACGATGTGGTAACTAAGGCATAACGCTACTACAACAACCTCCCATGATTTGGATGTTTAAGAGTAGGAGTTCGTGATGTTGTTTTTTTTCTTTTCTTTTTTCGAGTGTTCACTTGTTTTTAATGTTATTTGTCAAAATCGGCTAAATAGTGGACCGGTCCCTTGGTTGGCTTGAAGTAAAATACAATTGATCAATAATTTTAGATGGTTGGTTTTTATTGGTTGTTATGGGAAATTAAGATTTATAATTCATTTTAATAATACATTATATATTTTTATTGTTTTTATTTTTTATTTCTAAATATGTGATGCAACTTGAATGTCAATTGAAAATTGGACTATGTGATCCAGTAGGGTGGATATAAATTACTTTTTTTTCTTATTTTTTTTATTCTTACGCCAGTAAGACCACTCACAGTATCCAATTACAAACAAATAACTCTTAAAACAAATAAATAAAATAAAATACACATGGTTCTCACTTGCTATTATTATCGAATACAGTTTCTTAAATAAAAAACATTAACTCATTTATTTATGTGAAGAGAAGATTAAATCACCAAAAAAAAAAAAATTAGAGAAGTAAACTTGTCAAATATTAGCTCAATTGGGTTTAGTACACTCCTCACACCGTGTTTTTTCTTTTTGATGGTACTCAAGATCTACGATCGGTCTCAATGCCTTAGTCTTGCTAAAGAAAGGGAGAGATTTAGGAATCTACCAAAAAAAATCAAACCACTTCAACCTAATAGTATCTTCGTCATGCCACCTAACCTTATATTCTGCGTGCCACCTATAAAGATAGGGCCTTATCTTCGGCCATTAAGATTCAAAGGGATAGCTAAACCTTTATCCTCCATTTTTCTATACATATTCTCATCAAATATTTAAATAAATAAAATATATTTTATTTTTTAGTATGTCCCATCCTTGTTTATTGGATCAACCAATTTGATTCAATTATTTACTAAATATTTCAAATATTCAATCAAGTTGGCTATACCCAAAAGATAAACGAACAAACATACCACAATTATTACCCAATCTTGAGAACAAGTCAATGGGTAGGGCGTGCTACCTTTCGTTGTCACACGTGGGTTCCATCTAATCCCACATGTTTTAAATTAGACCCCATATTTATGAAGGAACCTATATAATTTTAAAAAATATTTTATATAGATCTTATATTTTATTTAAAATATTGAAAAATTAATTTATCTTAATTTATAAATCCAAATAACAAAAATAAAATATCATAAGATTCGCAAAAATTCACTAAATACTCTAAAAATTATATATCATA